TTGAGATGGCTTTCGAAAATGAAAATCCTGAAAATGAAGACTATATGCAATAAAATTTGTTAGAACAATTAGGCTCAAGCTAGCTTGCTGGAGGATACAAGACCAAAGGCATTATTGAACAAGTTATAGAGGAGTTATGCATTTATGCTGCTAACCAGTTGTGCATGAAGATGAACATTTACTCCCTAAATATGGCAAAAGGAGGTAATTTTATAACCATATTTATTATTTAGTTAGTGTACCAATTGTTAGGAAGAGATGAACAAGACAATTGAAAGGTGAGGAGCAAACACTACTATTGTTGGCTCCGGTTACGAATAAGAAAGGAAAGCGACAATTAATTGCATAGGGGTATATTTTACTACTATACCTTATAACCTAATCTAAAACCAGTTAATTAAACCTAATTTTACTACTATACCCTATAACCTAATTTTCTAACACTCCCTCTAAAGTTGGAGAATAGACATTACCCATTCCCACCTTGGTAATAATTATCTAGAATGCCTAGTTACTCAAGTCCTTGATCAATACGTCTACAAGTTGAAAGTTAGTAGACATGCACGGTGTGCATATCAGGTCACTATGTAGTTTCTCTTTAATAAAGTGCATGTCCAATTCAATATGTTTTTCATGTCATGTTATACTGGATTACGAGTAGTACTTATAGCTGACTTGTTGCCACAATAGAGACGTATGAGTCCATCCCATTTGATCTTTAGATTTTCTAAAGTCATTTTTAACTATAACAACTCACATAATCCTCATATCGTTACTCAAAATGCTAACTCCGCACTAGATATTGTGACTATATTTTATTTTTTACTTCTCCACATGACCAAATTACTTTTAAGGAACAGTACCTGTAATAGATATTTTATCCACTATTGATCCTGCATAATCTACTCGATATAGATTTCCGTAAGTAACTTGTTATTTCTTTTAAACATAATACCTTTCCTAGGTGCCCCCTTCAAGTAATGTAGTATTTTATATACTACGTGTAAATATAACTCTTTAATTGACTTATCACGCTTACTACATAGGCAATGTTTGCTGTTGAGTGTGACAAGTTTATCAGTCTTCCAACTAGTCTCTAGTATATTAAGTTGTTTATCTTGTATCTTCTTTTGCCACTCCCAATTTACGGTTGGAATCAATAGGAGTGTTAACAGGTTTACATGCCAGCTTACCTAAATCCTTTAGCATATCACTGATATATTTTTGTTGCGAGATAAAGATTCTTGATTTCGTTTGAGCAACTTCATTTCCAGTTAAATACTTCAGCTTTTAATTCCTTAATCTCAAACTTCTTGGACAGGCACTATTTCAGTATCTGCTTTTCTTTTTCATCATCACCTAGTATAATGATATTATCAACATACACTAAGAAGATTGTAACTCTCCCTGAAACAGTGTTTAATAAATAGGGTATTGTCTTCTTGACTCTGTTTGTATCTCATGTCTAACCTCACGTTTGCAAATTATCAAACTATACTCTAGGTGATTATTTGAGCTTATAAAGTGCTTTCTTATGGTAAGGCAGCTCTAATGATCCAGTTCCTGCAACCAAATTTTCAATAGATTAACATAGTCTAGCGCTAATTTTCTTCCTTGTTTTTAAGACCAAGTTTTGATTGTCAAATTATAGATATGGACTGCATCTTTTACTCTGTAATAAGTTTATCTGAATACTTGCCAAACCTCTTTAGCAGTGGGCCGGAACAGACAAGTGTTGCTTATCTCTGATGATATTGAATTCTAGAGCTAAACTATTATCATCAAATTTTCTTTATCCTAGGCATCAAATTGTAGGTCTCTTGGTTGTGCTCCGGTCCCAGAAAATGGCTAAGCATGACTTTTCCTTTTGAGGATTGTAGGAATCAACTGTGACCAATTAACATAATTTTTCTTATTCAAGTGATAGGCAATCTGAATTAGCTAAAATTCTCCAGTTGATTGCAGTGAATATGTCACCTTAGGCCTTGTGCCAGTGGTTTGGGACGTTACCTCTGACATGATCAAAATTTTTTAGGACAATTAAGACCAATTTTATAAGGGAAAAACCAGAATAATCGGGCTGAATAAGGAGCTAATGAGGACAGGTGGCTGCTGGTGCAGTGGACAGCAATCGTAGCTTGCCGTAGCTCGCAAGGTTCTGGTGGAGGCGCGACTGGAGTAGGTGCATTTGGTGCGCAGGCGCATTGGTTGGTTGTGCTGCTGGTTTGGCTTGCAGCTGCAGGGAGCAATAGGTGAAGATGGTTTATGAGGCTGGTGATTGGCTATGAGGGCCAGCAGTGCTGGTGGTGATGGTGGCCAGCTATGAAGGTTGGCCCAGCTTAAGGTTTTTTGTAATTCTTCTTATTTCGGCAACGAATGCCGATTAGGATTTGTAAAAGAGATAGGGATATTTTTCCTAAAACTTTAATACCATGTTAAGAATGATTTGTTATATAATTTATTGAACATCAAAACCCTATATATAAAAGTTCTTGAGAATAAAAAAGGAAACTGACAATTAATTACATAGATATATATTTTACCACCATACCCTTTAACCTAATTTAATCCTAGGTAATTACCGTGATGTACATTCTGTAACAGCTTCCTCACCCAAATCTTATAAACTAGTAGTGGAAATCAATGTTTGTTAACATAACAGCATAAAAGCTTGATTATGTCATACCCAACTAAGGGAGAGTGAGAAAATTATGGGGAAAAAGAATGTTCAGTGAGGGGGCATGCATTAGTTGTGGAGAACTCAAGAAAAGAGGAGAATCATTCACAAGGAAGAGGTGGCCCTCATGGAAAATCTAGGTGAAGAGATGCAAGCGACATAGTGTATTACTACTACAGAGGAGAGGATCATATACAGAGTAGATGCCCTAATTTCAGAGAGGACTTGAGAAGCTTCATGCAGAACCTTGGGAAGGGCATGGGAAT